ATCTATTGTCTTCTTTTCAATCTTTCTGAAACTTATGAATAGCTAAAATTAAAAAAAGGGAAGTTTTGATTTCACTCGACTAAAAAATATTTTTGATGGTTGCAATAAACTGTTTTAAATTCCTGCTCGGAAAATCCTAATTCAGTAAATAAAAAAAAGAAGGGAGAATAGAATTTATAGAAATAATAACAATAGGAAATTTAGTTTAGTTGAATAATTTTAATTTATTTATCGAAAAATGTTATTATATTTGAGAGAACTACTCACTTTGTTATAAACAAATTTCATTGAAATTTTATGAGAAATAATTAACTTCCTACAAGGAATTTATTAAAATACTTCGAATAGTCGATTCCCTTTGAAGAATTTGAACAAATCAAGAATTAAAATAAATAATAATAACATTTTTTGATAGATAGATTTTGAAATTATGTTAAAGGAATTGAAGCCTAGCCAAGAATTTTACTATTCATAAAAAATAAATGAATTCTTGAGAGAAAAAAATCTATTAAATAAAAAATAATTTATTATATATATAATTCAATTCGTATAAAATTTTATTTGTAAAAAATTAATTGAATATTTAGTTATACTTGTGGTTGAATTGAATATTTGTGTTTTGTTAAAATAAACATCTAATGTCGAAATTCTATGTTAAATTTGTATCGTAAAAATAATAGTTCACCTCTCTATCTTACACAGAAAAGGAAAAGAAAATTTGATAAACGGAATTTTCTTCTCACTTTGAGATTTTCTTTTTTTGTGTACTTCAGACTGAATGTTTAAACTGAATATTGTGAAACATTAAGAACTTTGTAATCTGGAGAATGTTAATCGCTATAAAGAAGTTAATTTAAGGGAATCTGATCATTCTCCAAAGAAAGAAATAATTCCTAACTCAATGTTCACCAAACGAAAAATTCAACTACTTAACTAAGGTAAAAGTACCAATTATGGGACGCTGTTTAAGCTAAACTAAATTTCTATGATAAATTTCTTGGAATCGGGAGTGTTAATATGAATAATTAGGGTATAGATTGAAAGATTGATATGTTATGAATAATATTTAGACCCTAAAATGGTTATTTTTCATGAAATAAAAATAATATTAATTAAATTATGAAACTCTGCACTGCACTAATTATGGGACTATGATTTCTGTATGTACGGGTGTCCCATAATGAATGTTCCTATTATGAGACATTTATTTAATTCAATAAGTAATTAGAATTCTATTGATTTATCCTAATAATTTGAATATTAATTATAAAGAATAAAATACAATAAACAAATTCTGGTTTAAAAAATAATTATAAAACTAATTTTTCTGGTAGAAAATTAATGCGAAAAAACTGAAAATATTTGAGGTTATGTTTGCTGTATATTTCCTGTGTGTCTCATAATAGGGATAGCAAATAATAAGTGCACCTAATGTGGGACGGTAGTCTGACGAAAAACTTGGCTTACCTTAATTTAAAAGCTAAAATGCAAATAAACATTTCTTATTAAATTAAATGCTATACACAAATAATTATTCTTTTAACGTGTAAAATTTTTTGAAATAAGTAGAAATTTCTTATGACCAATTTTAATTGCATTTATTTTATTTTTTGTAATACTGTCTCATAATAGGGACAAAATTGTAAATTGTCCCATAATTGGGACCTTTACCTTATCTATGTCTATGGTAGACAATTGCTTGACCCCCCCCCCTCCCCCTAGACGTACTACGTAGTTCATGAACGTTCCCTAAATTGAGCATGAAATAGAATAAAAATTAAATAACTTAAAAATTTCAATAACCTAATCATTTAAAAACATTTCCGTCATCTGAAACACAAACTTTTAATTTTTACATCTGTCTGTACAAAAACCTCATAAAAATAAAGGAATTTTAATTAATGTTACGTATGACTTCGTAAGATTTTTATATTTTTAGTAAAAAACATTGTAATCATATGAACTTAATAAAGAATTATTAATGTCAATTTATGAGGTAACAATTACACTTTTAACACATGATGACACTTTGTAACACACATATTACAACATTGAGAAAGGAATTTTTTTATTAAGATCTAAATAATGAAAATAATGAGCCCCGCCAATGGTTGTCCACTGCCGAACATCATCGATGTCTTCGATGTTCTAGAATTAGTGAATGCTTATCCACTGCCAGACATGATTGACATAATGGATATGTTCGGTATTATATTTTCTTTTGTATTATACAAATCCCACATAACCTTGGATTGTGGAATCCAAGGTAACTGTATGCAGATTTCTCAAAACTTCCTAGGCAAAAAAAATAATGAAATGAGGATTGTGATACTTTATTATATGCAAAACTGTGTCAAATATTCTTTAAGAGTAAGTACAATTGACTTACGACATTTCTCAATGTAAAAAGTGGTTCATCCAAGCAACAGAACTTGGGTGATGATACCCAAACAAATCTGAAAGGTAGCAGATAATCATTAAGTAATAACTTAATACCACAATAATAAGTAGGTCTTTCCCACCAAAAAATCATTCAATGAAAAGAATCGACAAAGGGAAATCGAGGCAGTTGCCCGTGAATCTTAGCGAAACAAAGTATATTGGCCATAGTAGCCTAAGCAGGCAGTAGTTGCCTTTAGTCTCAAGAAGAGACTCCAGAATTTTTGTTTAGAGAATTTACGTTCATGTTAATATATTAAACTGGTAATTTGAATATTTCATTGAGCAATTTAATAAAAGAATAATTGACATAGTATTTTGTCATATTATGAAGAATATTAAGAAAGTTAAAAAAGATAATAATAAAACTAAAATAAATCCTAATAAAAGATTCCAGACTCTACAATACAGTCAAAGATTGTAACACAAACAAAGAAAAGAAAGTCAAAGAAAATAACACAAACACGATTCATTATTATAAACGATTGTTTTTAATATATAATAAAATAGTGCTGTTAAAAGTTATTTAACTGATCAGTTTATTTGAATTTAGATTATCATATTAATAAATTCATAATACTATATTCCTTTCCAATATACGGGGTCTCATCCGATTGATTGAAATAATAATCGAGATGTAAAAGGAATTCACTACCTTTAAATAAATTATTTGTTTCCATAGAGCATTGACGTTCACTACGGGTTGAAATAATTTAATAATTTAATATTTCATTAAGTTATAAATAAATTCATTCTTAACAAAATGGTGGCAGCGGTGGGATTTGTTTGCTTTATTTTGGAGGATTAAAATTCGAAAATTTAAGGATAATAATTCAGTATAACAAACTAATTTACACTTCACACAAATACTAATTAATAATAAAATGACCCAAAACTTCAACACCCGATTACTTCAAAAATAATTTTTTTTTAAATATTTTAGGGGGAAAAAGTGTACTCATATATCTACCAAAAATCATAGATAACTTATGAAAATTGGAGACAAAAATTTTTCAAATGGCCGATTTCACTTATTTTGGCCCGTATATATTGTTGTCTTCTGTTACTGGATTTTATTGGTTAATCTTTACTATATAATCTATAACCTCTCTATAATTAAAAAGAAGAATATCTTAAAGGTGAGAATAATATGTCAATACTGTATATTTTCTTAAAATAAAATAAAAGTTACAAACTTTATTTAAATTTTAAAATTAGTAACATATTGATCATTCTTTCTTTCAGGTTTTCTGGCCTCGCAAATACAACATAATCGATGCTTTCCTAAAAATAGTGATAATCAATGTGTCACTGTTCATAGAAAATTTTTTAAAAATTAAAAAATCAATATACTTTATTTACAATTTTTACATTGAAACGCAAACAAAAATCCCAATAAATAATATAATCTGCTTCGGTGCTTTTCAGATGAAAATATTCCATCAATTTGTAATTCAATTAAATAAATAATTATAATTTTTAATCGCTCAAGTAGTCTTTGTATTTATCCGCCGGACGTAATATTGCGGGCAGACATACATACATACATAATTTTTTTCTTGTCATTTTTGGAATTCTTACTACTCGAATAGAAAAACTGAACATGAATTTTCAAATTCTATGCAATGTACAGACAAAAGTCTAATCTTATTCATAAAGATTATTATTAAAATTTAAAAAAAATTATTGAATAATTGTCTAAAACTCCTGTGTGCCAATATATATTAATAATAGTTATAATTATTATATTATAATATTCTAATTTAAAATTCTGAAAATGTCTGTAGGATAATATCCAAAATATTTGGTATATGTTAGGGAGCATTTAAAATATCGGCTTTACTACGTTAAGGTTCCTAATAGACAGTTAAAAAATATAGTTATAAAACAGGAGCATTCTATATTATTAGTAACCTATTTCATAACAAAATTGTGTATGATTCATAAACTAAAATTTTAATTACTCTTAATATATGTTTACTAGTTATACATGAAACGTATTTTAAAAGACACAAGTAGTTATTATACAATATCTTCATATCTAACATCTATTCTATCTTCAATAACTCTTTTAAATAAAGTATGCACTCTGAAGATATTGCATTAGCCAGTCATCTTTCTCTAAGCGTACACTCAAATAGAACTTGAGAATAAATTAAAAATCGGTGTTCTTAAAAAGACAGTGAAGTTAATAAAAGGAAATATCTGTTTGTGGTAAAAATAAACTTTATTATAAAAAGATATTTTAGGTACATTTAAATTAACAAAAGAAACTTAGAGCTCGCAGCACACTGCCTTACAATTTCATAGAACACGCAAACGTTTCTCTCAGTCGGCGCCATTCGACCATTGTTCTCTCTATCGCTTTCGTCTCCTCTTACGTACGTTTACCGCGTCTTACGTTACATATATTTAACTCATTATACGTTATTCATTATATTTTAAATTTAAATACAACAATCGGCCATCCTTTTGTGGTTTGGTCTCTCAAACCATTACTTTATGAACAATCATAAGAATCTAAGTATTTCGGTCTAACAATTTTTCTTTTTGGTCGATTACAATTTATTTCGTTTGATTTGTCAATATCATTTAGACTTTCTTTATCACTGTCATATTCGTTATCATCTTTATCAACTTGACCTTTCCAGATTTTCATCTGGCTGACATGCGCGGTTGTTGAAAATCCTCTATCGTTACTTTCGTTTAATTTCTTTATTTGATAAGTATCGCTAGGCAGCTTTTGTACAACAACCATCGGGCCGCTAAACAAAGGTTGTAGTTTCGTAGACTGACCTGTCGACACAGAATTTCTCTTTACAAACAAATGTCTCCAATTTCGTAGTGTACATTCGAAAATTTGTTCTTATCGTAATGTGATTTATACTTTTCTTGCGCTTTTACAATATTATCACGTACTTCTCTCTGAATGTCGGCCGGTAACATATATTTTTCTCGATTAATCGTTAATTCTCTTAATTCACCATTCTCAAATCTAGGTAAATAGTCGTAAAGTGCCTCAAAGGGCGTTTTTCCTGTCGATTTACAAACCATGCTATTAATATCGCGTTCGATTTTCTTTATTTTCAATTCCCAATCATTCTGTTCTTCGTTACTGACAGCACATCGCATGCTTGGCAAAAGGGTCTGGTTTAACCGCTCTACAAGTCCATTGGCTTGAGGATGCCTACTAGAATTTAATGTGTGTTTAACTCCGAATTTTTGACACATATCGTAAAACCCTTTTGCTGTGAAGCATGTTTCGCGATCAGTAACAATTCGCGTAGCAGCTCCAAATCTCTCAAAAAAATCTTGGACCTTTTTCGAAGTAATTCTCTCGCTTACATTTCTCACTGGTACAATATGTACATACTTGGTCAAATTATCTATAATTGCTAACACGTAAATAAAATTAAAATAAAAAAATAAATAAAAAAAATGAACATTAATTATAAACAGGTCCCCATGTACATCAACTTAGCGAAACAACTTCAAAATTTTAAAGTCGCATATAGATGAAAATTTGCCGTTTTTTTGTCGCTAATTAGTTGTGAATAAAAAAATTTTTGTCGCTCCTTAATTTTTTTTAATAATGGGTGTTTTGCTAAGTTTATATAAAGTTAGCAAAGCACCCATAGTAAAAATGATAATTACAAAGATTCACTAAATTACTCTTTATAGGAATATGCCGCTTTTTTGCCGCTAAACAATGAGCTACTTCATTTTACAAAAAAATAAAAATTCAAAAAAAAATTTTTTTTTTAAATAGGCATTAAATTTTTTTTTTAAAAAAACTTTAAAAAATAAAAAAAAGGAATAATTTTAATAAAAAACAAAGAACCAGCAAATTATATCACAAATAGTAACTAAATTAGTCCAACGACAAATTCCTGGCTAAAAATAATGAACAAAAAATAAAAACTTTTAAGAAAAACCACTTTTTTGCTAAATTTATCGCTAACACAAGTCAACATGAAATTTGCGCCTGACATTTAAGATATTTTTTATGATAGATTTATCGACAGATATGAGGAAAAAAATTATATTTTATCAAAAAGTTTGCTTTTGTAGATAGGAGAACGTTTTTACCATATTTTTGAAAATTTATGATTTTCTGAATGAAATGGTCAATCACAAATCTGTAAAGTACGTAATAAAACGTACTTTACAGATTTTTGATTGACCATTTCATGAGTATTGCATGAGTATGGATGTGCAAAATAAATATATTTTTTAAATTTTATTAAAAAATGGTGGCTGTGCAGCATTTCATTAGAAAGCGTCTCGTTATAGGATTCCATAGCCAGACAACTAACGTCCTTAATTTTTGATCTGGAAAAAACGGAAATGTTGTCATTTTCTATACATCAACAGCTATCGACTCTCGAAGGTTTTTTTATATAACTTACTTTTATTTTTAACAACAATTTTTAGATTTTTTTTTTGAAAATTGTCATTTTTTTGTTCAATTACGCACCATTTTGCAAAAAATCAAAATATCGAAAAAATCCTATGTGTGTCGATAGCTGTTGATGTATAAAAATGACAACATTTTGGTTTTTTTAAAATTAAAAAGTGAGGACGTTAGTATTGTCCGGCCATGGAACCCTAAGATACAGACGCCTTTCAATAAAATGCTATACCGCAGCCATTTTGTAATGAAATTTTTTTTGAAAAAATAAAGTTTGCATATCAATACTCAGGGGTCGTACACATAATACGTCACGCGGCTAGGGGGAGGGAGGGGGTCTGAGAATTGTGACTAAGTGTGACATGGGGGAGGGGGGGGTGAACTCATGTGTTACGTCACAATCTTTTAAATTCAAAGATTATAAGAAATTATATGTGACAATGGCACTTTTTCTAAATAAAACATGTTAAAAATGCTCTAAACTATTTAATATCTATTATATGTACCTGTTTAACATCTATTGGTATATTATTTATAATATGATAAGTAATATATTCTCTTAATTTGAATCAGTTAAAAATCATGGTTTAAACTGGCAATCAGCAGTGACTGTCTTTTTGTATCTGAATCAGTTAAAAATAACTGAAAAATTATCCACAAAACACCGAAACTTTTCTAAATATATGTATATTAAAGATTTGCTTGCATACTTGGAAAAGTTTACTAGCAATTAGTTTATTTAAAATTGTGTAAAGATTTAAATTTCTCACTCCAATAAATGTTTATCGTCAAATTTTCTTAAAAATATAGCTTGAAACTTTCCTGAACATTTAATTACACTTTTGACTATACTTTCGTAAAAATTTTGCTGAAAATTTAAGTTAAATTTTCAGGAATGTTTCGCGCTAAACATTTATTGAAGTGGGATATTTAAATCTTTATACAATTTTTACTAAACATTGCATTTAAATATTTCGAAGCTTGCCTTCAATAAATTGTTAGGAAAGTTTCGGTGCTATGTAGGTAGTTAAACGTGACTAATAATTAAATCAATCCAAAAAAATTTTATTGAAACATCAGTTATTTTTAACTAATTGTCAGAAAAAAATATAACTATTTGAATTAGTGACTGATTTCTTGCTTCTAAATAAGTTATTTCTAACTGATTCAATAATTTAGAGTGTTGTATATAATATATAATGTCCAATGTATAAAATTTACAGTGAAATTTACGTGTGTGACGTGACGTACGGGGAGGGAGGGGTTCAAGGTTTGTGACGAAGTGTGACATAGGGGGAGGGAGGGGTCAAAAATGGTCAAAAATCGCGTGACGTATTATGTGTACGGCCCCTCATGGAATAAAATGTAATTTACAGATTTTTAATTGACCATTTCATTGAGCCAAAAAAAATCCCTAAAATATGCCTAATTTTCGTGATTTCCCCCCTCATCATGTCTGCAACTACTACAAAAGCAAACTTTAAAAAGAATATGTATATTTTCCCTTTATTTTAATGAATAATAAATAGAAAAATCGTTATATAAACCCAGGCGCAAAATTTTTTCGTTTTTTTGTTGAGCTGTGTAATTTTCAATCAAAAAATGTTTAAACAATTTAAATCAGTAACGATAAAATCGAAATTACTATTTTTTAACCAAATTAGTCCAACGACAAATTCCTGGCTAAAAATAATAAACAGAAAATACAAAACTTTTAAGAAAAATCACTTTTTTGCTAAATTTATCGCTAATTTTCAAATAAAAAATGTTTAAACAAATTAAATCTTTAACGATAAAATTGAAATCATCATTTGGTAACTAAATTAGTCCAACGACAAATTCCTGGCTAAAAATAATAAACAAAAAATACAAAACTTTTAAGAAAAATCACTTTTTTGCTAAATTTATCGCTAATTTTTAAATAAAAAATGTTTAAACAATTTAAATCTTTAACAATAAAATCGAAATCATCATTTAGTAACTAAATTAGTCTAACGACAAATTCCTGGCTAAAAATAATAAACAGAAAAATAAATACTTTGAAGAAAAATATGATTTTTTGCTAAATTTATCGCTAATTTTAAATTAAAAAACACTTTACTTCCTCATGGAGATAAAAATAATAGAAATATATGAATAACTTTTTATAAATATGGTAAAAGTGATTGAATTTTGGGTCAATCAATTTATTTTTAAATACCCTACAAGATAATTACAATAATTTAATAGTTAAACAAAAATTTTTAAACAAAAAAGTTGAGAAAATGTCATTTTCCACAATTTTTGGTTTTTAAAATACCAATAATTTCGAAATTTATTATCGAATTAGGTTCAAAAATAGGTCAATCGAAGCGTTTTTTGAAGCTCTACAAGTCGGTAACGATAATTTTAAGATTACTTCTACATTTTTTAACAAAATTTTCAAAAAAGTCTTATTTTCCAAAATTTTGAATTTTTAAAAGTTTAATATCTCCGGTTAATATGGACGAAAAATGTTCAATTAGGGCTCAAAAGATGCGTCTAAAAAAACTTTACAAAATTATGGAAAAACATTTATAGGTGTCCTAACATTTTTTTAAAGTTATGGGCAAAAAACCTTTTTTTTGCAAAATTAAAAATCCAAAAAAAATTTAGTTAAACTTTATTAATCTATCTCAAAGTACTCTCATTTTATGTCCGCAGGTGAGATCTACAATTTAAGAAAAAATTCAACCCAAAAGCTCTTCATGATTTCGAGATATTTATGAAAATGTGATGTTTACACACACACACACACACACACATACGGAATGACATTTTTTAAAAATGTCATTTTTGAACTCCTGAGGTCAAATAACATAAAGATATGTCAAAAAATCGAACTCGAAAAATTTCGGTATTACAATACTTCCTCTATGAGGAAGTAAAATTTTTAAACAAATTAAATCTTTAACGATAAAATCGAAATCATCATTTGGTAACTAAATGAGTCCAACGACAAATTTCTGGCAAAAATAATAAACAAGAAATAATTGCGTTAACTTTTAAGAAAGATATAATTTTTTGTTAAATTTATCGGTAATTTTCAATTAAAAAATGTTTAAGCAATTCAAATCTTTAACGATAAAATCGAAATCATCTTTTAGTAACTAAACTAGTCCAACGACAAATTCCTGACTAAAAATAATAAACAAAAAATAAAAACTTTTAAGAAAAATCACTTTTTCGCTAAATTTATCGCTAATTTTCAATTAAAAAATGTTTAAACAATTTAAATCAGTAACGATAAAATCAAAATTACTATTTTGTAACTAAATTAGTCCAACGACAAATTCCTGGCTAAAAATAATAATCAGAAAATATATACTTTGAAGAAAAATATGATTTTTTGCTAAATTTATCGCTAATTTTCAATCAAAAAATGTTTAAACAATTTAAATCTGTTACGATAAAATCGAAATCATCATTTAGTAACTTAATTAGTTGAACGACAAATTCCTGACTAAAAATAATAATTAGAAAATAAATACTTTGTAGAAAAATATAATTTTTTGCTAAATTTATCGGTAATTTTCAATTAAAAAATGTTTAAACAATTTAAATCTGTTACGATAAAATCGAAATCATCATTTAGTAACTAAATTA